GCCAAGTTTTACATACACGAGTTTTATTTAAACCGTGGTTTTAAAAGTGCGATGCTTTCAAATAAATGTTTCCATATGATGAGTACGTTACGGTTAGTATATGCAGTACGAGCTATATTAAATACAGAATACAGGCGTTTATGGCTACATTGAACTGCTTTAGAACACGCTTTTGATAAACACGAGCTAAAAATTATTTTAATACATGTAAAACATATTAAGCTCAAAGCAGTACGTGCTCTGACCTTAGGCAAGTAATTTAAAAGCAGTCGAAGTATCCGATTGCCTTTCGCCAGACTTGTTTATACCAGCGCATCATTTCTTGTGGAAATTACATTAATAGCACTGCTAAATGGAATCACCGACAAACAAAAGCCTACTTTAAGGCAAAGATCACCTAAGAAATCAAGCAAAATAGCGTAACGCTTGTTGTTCTAAAACCTGTGCCTCTAGTTGACACAACATTAATTCATTCCCTGTTTGCATACGAAGACAAATGGTCGAACGGATTCGTCCAAATAACTGAATAAACCTCAACAGATACTCCTCAATGTCGCTTCAACAATTCGAGGACCGTTTTTTGCAGCGATTATAAGGCTCTTTGGCTTATTCGCTTTTCGCTGAACGAAATCCTATCGTCAGGCTGCAATAGCTCTTTCACACTCCTGTTGATTGCATATTCTCCATATCAAGTACAATATCGGGAACAAATGTGCACAATTCGTCCAAATATACAACAATGCTCCACGCTCAATTATTTCGATGTCCTTTTAACAATTCTAAGTCCATTTCTTGCGGATGATATTATCAGTGTTCTTTAGAATAATTCCATTTATACAAAACCCATCTCTATTACTAATGTGTCGGGAAAAAAACTTCGCCTTACTAGTACCCTCTAGAATATTCCAAACATATACGTAAAAGGCACTTGGAAAAAAAGTAACACTAAGTAAGGGAGGTAGGAGTAACGTGTTTAATCTGACTTTAATGAATAAATTAATGAGAATCGAGTGAGTGAGTGAGTGAGTGAGTGCCAATCGAGTGCCTCCAAAAGCCCATGGCATGACTACGTCATCCATGAGCCAAAAATGAATAATAAACACACGAAGAATTATGCGGAAGTGACAAATTACCGCAGATACCAAAGTCCGCGTAAGACGTGCAATACGCGCCTGGCGTGAAATACTGTAAGACCCGGATTTCGTCTCACAATACGTTTAATCTGTTGTATTTTTGTGTAAATGAAAACCATCAGCAGTACTAATGGACAATACTGGGACACACTGACACACTCACTCTAACAACAGAGAGGGTCGATTAGAAGTTCGTGACTCCTCATACATCCCGAAGGTTAATCTGAACCAGAAGTTGTACGCAGTTTTTTAAACGTTCATTTTTCTTCAAACAAGAGTCTTTGTCTTGTAAGATAAAAGATAATTTTGGTAAAATATAACGAACTATTAACAGCATTTTAAAAAGGTCGCTCTATAAATTATCAGTTCACTTGTGAAATGCGACCTGTGCCATTCAAATAGGCTTGTTTCAAGTCTTTTGTTTGTCCGTTGATGTAGTCGTTTTCATTTACTTCTCCGTTCATGTAGCCGTGTGTTTTGATTCCGTTTTGCAGATGAGATATAATACGAGCATGACCATTCTCCATTTTTGTGGAATGACCAACTTCCCTGGAATGTTTATGCTCCAACAACATGTGATTTTGCGGCTTCAAGCCAACGCAAGCCCTGAAACAGACCACGCCACATATTAATTTCTTACTATTCCAATATCAAGGTGTTGTTCCATACAAAGTCTATTCGTTTCCTACGATACTTACAAGGAGCATTCAATAGTTTGTTTTATTACAATTGTCTAACTCTAAAATAGTCTTCTAAATGTAGGGCGCAGAGGTTACAACTGGATTTTATGTATTATGGGTAAACATTACAACATTTTCCGCAACAAACAAATGACTGGTTGTCAACCCAGCTATGCCAAAGAGAAGAAAATAACTTTTTTAAACTCCTGGACACGGGCACCCCAGCCAAAGGAAGGTCTAGTCTTTTTGCAGTACAAAGGCAGACCCCGAGTAATAGTCCAGCCCTGAAAGCGCGATCTTTCACTGCGTAGTCGAGCGCTCTACCCACCGAAATAATCCTAGGCAAGGAGAAAAACATCCAATCAGGAACAAAGAACATCGCATACAGTAAAACCCCGCTACTAAGGACCTGCATGTTCCCAAGTTAGCTTTAGCAGGTTCTTACATAAATATGCATGGTAATTAGGACAAATTTAGGCAATTTAGGTTCTTAAACAGATTCTTATTTTCCGAAGTATCTTGTGGTATTCAGCTCATTCCTTATATAAAATCTGCATGCCAAATTAGCATTTTATGTAAAAAAGACTATGAGTAGAAGAAAGACTGAAGCGCTGACCACATGAAGTCTTTTAGTACAGAAGTGTACAGATTTTTTTAACATAAATCTTAGAAAATACGAACCTGTTCCAAATTAGGCTACACAGGTTCTTGTATAGAGGGGCCCTAGGTTCTTTAAACCAGATCACTTACCTAAATATGTTTTCAATACAGCTTCTTTGCTTAAAGAGCGCATTGACAATTGGTGTGCCACAAGGTACAAGTGGGGCTTTAAGAAGGTAGCTGAGAAGAGAAAGAACTGGATGGAACGACTGGAACTCTTGATCACCCTCTACTTTAAACTTGATTCTCTCACAGATTTCACACAGGATAACTAAGTCCAAGATGATTGGTGCAGCCAAAAGAGAGTCCTGTACCAGATAAACCATTCAATTATATATAACATAATTATCAATATTAAGATCCAAATTTTGATGCAAGACAGTCTAGGATTTTGGATTCCACACCATGAATTCCATATTCAATGTACTGGATTCAGGATTCTTTCACAGGGGAACTTGGATTCCAGATTCCAATTGTTAGTGGAATTCCGGATTCCAGGACCCAGGATTCCTGATTCTACAAGAAAAATATCACTGATTCTGGATGCCACAAGCAAACATCTCCTGGATTCCCGATTTCCTTACATGGGACAAATAAAGGAAGGTACATGTAGCCTCTTAATTTTAGTTCATGTTCACCTATAGCCCACACCAATAAACAAGGCATCTTTATTTTTTTCAGATTTTACGTTAAACACATCACATATTAACTAGCCAGGCTCTAAGGCTGGACTTGGCAAAGCCACGAATGACTGACATACCTCACACGTGTTGTGGAGGACGATAGTGTTGAGTCCATGCATGAATATCTCGGAAGTGTACTCGTCTAAAGCCCGCTTGCTGTCGCCCACATAAGGAACATATTTAATGACAACACAATGGTCTGGCTTCTCTCCTTCCTCGTAGAGAATGTGGTTAGATTCAACCATATCATCTACCACATTACTTTTGGAAATCTGTCAGAAAATTAGGAGAATAAAAAGGATAAGCATCGAAAAGGAACTAGAAACACTTGCAAATTTATATTTTATCCATGTAGCAAATTCTTGAGTTTGTAAAATTTCATTTTTGCTACTCCGAAGTCAATTTAAATTTGGTTAAATGTAATTTAACTAAGTTAACCACCACGAGCTTAGCGGTCAAGCGGTTCACAAGCGTAGCGGTCAAGCAATTCACAAGCATAGCGGTCAAGCGGTTCACAAGCTTAGCAGTTGAGCGGTCCACAAGTTAAGCGGTCTAGCGGTCCACAAGCTTAGCGGTCAAGCGGTCTACAAGCTTAGCGGTCAAGCGACCCACGAGCGTAGCGGGCATCCAGCGGTCAATCCCATAAGTGCAGGCTCACATGGTGTGTGGTAGCTTTGTACATGGCTAGGATCTGCGAGTTGTTCATCGAGCGTTTGTGCAGTGGTCTGTGGAGCGGTTCATTTAGCGTCTCCCCCCCCCCTCCCATCCCTATTTTTCTTCCTTCCACTGTTTGATCAGTGTGACGGGTGCCTGGAATGGGGGCTCATGGCTGGGTTGCGGGGATTTGCCAGCCATGGGGGCAGTTTTTCTATCTAGGGGCTGGCTGGCCACAGTGGAAGCCCCTGGGTATCCCAGGCACCCACCTTCCACTTAAGCGAGGCAGTTGGTTAAACTTTGACTTGCATAACCAAGACCAAAATATCCAAGTCAAAGTTTAAATTTACCACTGTGTGGCAAAAATGAACTTTTACAAATTCTAGGTTATGTTAATTTAACAACGAAAACAACAACAACAACAACAACAACAATAATAATAATAATAATAATAATAAACCTGATGAGGAGTGGATGCTAGAGTTTAAGGGAGTGGTGGTGAGGGAGAGAGTAAAGTTTGGGCGGCACATTGTTCTCAGCACCTAAATCTAGCTATTCCAACCAGGTTTCCTGCGTGAATGGTATATGTTTGTATTGTAGCCTAATAGTCATATTTAATTTTTTTGAGCTAGTAAAGTTTACCTCTTTGGATCTGAACTGCTGGGGTGCTGACAGGTTTTTCCCATCATTATTTCCTAGATGGTTGTAGCTGACAATAGAAACAGGCTGCAAGAAAAGTGAAGTGATACATTCAATGCAAAGCTATGCTTTATCAGTGGCCTATGATTACTAGCTAAGACCAACTTAAAGGGGCTATGTCATGCTATTTGCTCTCTTTTTGGAAAGTTAAAAAATTTTTTGGCATCAATTGAATTCTAGAAACAACAGTCTAGTACTCAGGCATTGAAACTGTTTCCTGTTGTCTTTTGCGATGGATAGGCTTTGATTGAAACTTTGAGTTGTGGTTATGATTTCAGCACAAAATTGACCTAAAACAGCAATATCCAGGTGACATAGCCTCTCTAAATTATTTTTTGCATACAGCCATGTCAACATTGGCTATGCATGCAGTTGGCCTGTTAACGGCAATGAGCTTGAGGGGAGCATCTTAGAGGCTGGAGGGGCCAAGTATTGTAGCCAAATGCATAACTCTGTGAGTAGTAGTAACCACCTAGGCACTACATGACCACACTGAGCTAACCACTGGTTTCTTACCATACTTACCATTATACTTACCAAAGGGAGGGCGGGGTGGGGAGGAGAACACTTCACGAGCTCAAGCAACGTAAAGCAATGCAAACTAAGCCTAAATTTCATGTACCATAAAAAAATTTAAGAGTTAATTCTCATGAGCAGGACAAACAAGCAAACAAAAGCAAAAAACTCTTTTGGACAGAAGAATAGGAATTTTGTCATTATTCTAAAACATATCAATGCACCTCTGATGACAAAAAAGATGCCAATATGAGTCAATTAAAGAGTGAGCCCTCTGATAAATGCAGAAAAAGGTTGCCAAGAAAAACAATGTTCTAGATAATAAGCCCAAAAGCCTTCTGAGGGAGTGGTGTAAATATCGTTACCTTTATACCAGCGCTAACTAAGAAGTCAACAAGCACAGATTTCATCTTTGTCTGCCCAGACTTGAAGTCATCCCCACCAAGAAATGTGCCGTACTTCTTAGCAAGATCAATGACACCTGGGACGTTAGTGTTCTGAGGTGAGCCATTTATGTAGGAACACTGGAAATAGAAAAAAAAAGTGTTTTTAATTTCACTGAATAAATCCCATTTTCGAATGGAAAGAACCCATCATTTACCTTTTCCAAGATGCTAGCAACGGCAAAGATAGTTGATGGAGAAACCTCTTCCTCATTCTGAGCAATGGAGTTCAAAAGGTTCTCAGCAGTGTCATTAAGGCCATCCTGTACATCACAAAACCGCTCTGTATTTGCCGTCCACAGAACAATCACCTAAGACATGAAAATAAAGAAATGTAACGCGTGCAATAAGCCTTCCTTTTAAAACACACTTAGAAAATACATTTATTTCAAAAGAATCAAGGAAGTGAAAGAATTTTGTCGTTAGTTATTGTAAAAATAAAGAGCAATGAATTTTAATTTGAGTTGCTTAACTAAGATTAAATATGGGTATCTGTGAAAAACTGTATAAAGTTATTACATTTGCAAACTGCAGATGAAATATGAGTAATCCCCTTACTTCCAGAAGGTCACATTAGGTGGAAGAAAAAATAAATGACTAAATAAATTTGGCATGAGAAAATTTCGAAGGCTAGTTACTGATGAGAATTCTTAAGCTGTGATCATAGTTTAAATCAATGTTGCATTTTTAAACAAGCAGTCCATCTGACACCCAAAAAATCAAGTTTGATGAGGCGAATAAACTTCTGAGATCACGCTGAGACACCTAATAGAACCTCTGCTATTAACTGTGTCATTTACAGTTTATTGGTTCCATAAAAAAGTAATTCTAGCCCTATCCACCCTCTTTCCCAGAAAATCAAAAACAAATCACAAGGGTGAAGGGGGAACTCAAGCAATTTAATTACCATAAACCTTCTATTAAGCACCACCTGGCGAGGGGGGGACTTATTAATTTCAAACACATTTGACAGGAGAGGGAGGGTTTAATAGAGATGGGAGCCTATTTAATTTAGCAAAGACGATGGCATCAGTTCTTCATAAAGAACTATAATACAAAGTGGAAAAACTCAAGTTCAAGAAGTTGGAGGTCAAGCAGCCAAACTTCCAGTTGGTGAATAACAATCCTCCATCAGTCCACACAAAGTTTTACAGTCATTATTGATTAACACAGCCTATCATTAATTAGTGAAGAATAATAAGGGGAAGGGGAGGGGGCTTATTAACTTTCTTCCCCTGAAAAGGGGTGGAGGGGCTTATTTGAGACGGGGGGCTTAATAGAAGATTTACGGTATCTAGGAACACTTAATAGGGCCTTATGCTCTGAAATTTCCTAACAACTCTACAGGTTACCCAGGGTACCAGAGGTTTTTTCTTGCATGCAGCAGCACATTTCAACAATAGAAGCAGGCCGAAACCATGAGCAGCGAAGCCGTTAGAAAAAACCTCCGGTACAGAAGGCTACGAATTACCGTTCAAGGCGAACTTCGATCTTTCGATCTTTTTTCTCGGACTACATTTAAACCAATCAGATGGAACGAGGAACAGATGGAACCAACTGTGATCTCATGGACTGGTGCGTGAAGATATCCTTGTTGAAATCATTGTTTTTTTATTTTGGATATACAGGCGCAACAACTGGAAAATAAATTAAAATAAGCTTTCCAATTCATACAAGAACTTTTGTGAAGTAATTCTTATCTTGTATGAAAAATTATCTGATTTGCCAGATTCAGAAGCCCTGGCTTAGAAAATGAAATGTTTGCCTTTTGCTAAACTGCTCAATGCCGTAATGCCTGTTTAAAAACTTTCGCTAATGCAAGAACAGACACCTATAAGCCATTGTCATTCTTCATTACACATTACGATGACAACAAAGTTTGAATTGTTCTATTTTTGTCAAACCGATATTAGTGTCTCTGTTAGATTCAAAATCCCTCAGGCAGTTGTTAGAAGCCAATCAGCCTTCATGACCAGAAATGTGATTGGCTTGTTGATATTGAAGCAGAAGTGCTCTGGTCAGGAAACTTTTCGAGCAGGTTACTATTAAGACTTGACTAAAACTGGGAACTGCATAAAAAGACTCTGGCACCAAGAAGTGAAGAAGGACACCTTACTTTTCCCCCCACTCTTACAGCAATGCAATGACCTGTATGGTAAGTTACCTTATCAAGGCAGTTTTTCTGCTTGAAATCTTGGATGTCCATTCTTATTTGTTCCAGCATTTCCTGTTTTGTCCCTGACAAGACATTATCCGCACGGTCAGCCTGATTGGCAGCAATGAAGTCAGGGCAGTAAATTGATGGACGTGGCTTTAGTTTCTCTAGGTAAGGCCTGAGTTGCCTCTGAAGTCCACTGTCCAGTACCTGAGCCCTTTCTGTGGCATCAGCCAGGTTGAGTGATGAGATGTCCCACCCTGCAAAAACCAATCACATTTTTAATACCTGCTCTGTTCCTTCACATTAACCCCTTGGTGTAACTAATACTGCTTTCCTAATTGTGGAAAATTTATAACTTCTTAATTTGTTCAACTTCCATTGTCTTAACTTTATTATTGGAACCGCCCTATGGGAATCTTTTGACACAATGTATTGCTTTAACTCAATATCTTGCTTGCCTAACTTGTAAAAAATTATGGAGTAATTATAACTCAATAATTTCTTACAAATTTTTTTCTACAATTTTTACCATAATCAAACCTCCTACCTTGTAACATTCATGAATTGTCTACGATTTACATCGTAGCTTGTCAAACGTACCATCAAATACAATGTCATTGGGGTGAACCATCGGAAGAAGATCCTTTAAGGGCACATACACATCTCCACCAGGCCCAGTTCCCAGGCAAACAGTAGAAGATTGAGTCATGGAGCCAACATAATTTGCTTTCTGTGAATAAAATGAAGTAAATAAAATGGTTATTAAGAATAATAAATATAAGAGAAAGGAAAAAACAAAACAAAACCATAAAGTATTTATGAACTTTTCAAGGACTTTTAACCTATTCCCCATGGGAAATTTTGCCGAAAAACACACTGTGAAGCTAGTGCTATAAATATAACCACAATAAAGAAACACAAGTTAAAGAGGTTGGGGCATGTATCAAGATCATCAGGGCTTGCCAAGACAATTCTACAAGGAACAGTGCAGTATCGATGCTATCATGTTTGACAGCTGCTACTTACCTGGATTGAACTGTTTATATCAATAGTGATATGTCTTTCCCTACCCGTGCCACCGGGAAACACACGCCAGCTATCTTCTCTTATTCTCCTGCTACTTAAAATATTTTTGACAACTCTGCTTTTCAATACCGTAAAACGCATACTATTTACTAAGGCTATCTTTTGTCACTTCACATTCTGATTTATAATCTAGAAGCATTGTTCCATTTTCACTTGACATTTCTACAAATAAATGTGGTTAAAATGTTCACTGTATAGTAAAAACTAGTTTTTTTCTTATTTCCGGCTTTTTGCATTGAGCTCCTGATAACTCAAACTTTTTTCGATTCCCCTTGAAGGTTTGAGTTATTGGTAGTCAACTGTATATAATACAACGGTCCTTCGCTCAGAATAGACTGAGCAAAACACTAAAACTGAACTGACCTTAACACCAAGTTTTGTGTTCCACGACAAACCCAGTTTATTTGCAAGTACAGCAGCGGTGATCGTGGAGCCATTATTGCCACCCCATCCCACTAACATACATCCAATTTTTGGAACATGTCTTTCAGTGCGAAAGGTGTACACTGTTTCAACAGGCTTCACAGTGTAGGTACCCTTTGAGTTGCAATCAACCTTGGTAGTCTCATATGTATATTTACTCTCAATATACTCCGAAGTGTAATGAACATTTGGGCTTTCCACTTTGAATGTTGTCATTTTCCTGCAATTTATGGACCCTAAAACAAGAAGAAAATAGCACTTAACATTTGCCATCGTCAACTGGCATAGCTATTGTGTTATTAACTTTAAGTCCACAGGCTGATTTTCACTAGCAATGGCGTCAGAGTCATAAGCAGAGTCGTAAAGAGTGCTTAGGCCTAGACTTACAGAAAATCAAAAATCATAGTCATAAGCAGACATAAGTGCAATGGAATCGGATTTGGAAGAATCAGAATCTTTCCATTTTCTTCTGACTCCCTCGTTTATGGTTCAGATTGTTGGATTCGTCAGCAGAAGTGGAAAATAAAGCAATCACAATGCTCATCTGCACACTTCACAATCCATGAGAATCCTAGTTTAAAGCAGCACTGTACATTATAATTTATAGAGAAACACTCGTTTACAAATGAAGTTACATTGATTGCAAGGCATTATATTGCCAGCGACAAAAGGAGCCTGCCACCTATTCTTGGTCAGCAGCACTCTATTAACTGTATAGCTGGATTTTTTCTTGATCTGTTCAAATTCCTGTATTGTACCGACTAATATGCTTGGTATGAATGGTATGTGGCCTCGAAGACCCTAGTGTTGAGTTAATGGTCTGTCTGATGTCACAGTAATCATGTGAATGCACATGCAAGTCATG